ACTCAGGACCTATACAAAGCCTGCTGTAAGGAGAACCCAACCCACAGAGTGCCACAAAATCCCCGAAAACCAGCCCAGTGCTAACACTCTTCCTCACAAGGCCTGTTCTAGAACTTTACCCTCATGGATCTCATATTTGAAAAGGCTCCTCTGCCAAATTTCTTTTACTAATTAATAATTAATGTTTTGGGCAGCCCAGGTGGCTCAGCGGTTTAGCGCCGCCTTCGGCCCAGGGTGTGGTCCTGGAGACCAGGGATCAAGTCCCACATCAGGCTCCCTGCATGGAGCCTGCTTCTCCCTCCGCCTGTGTCTCTGCCTCTCTTTCTCTCTCTCTCTCTCTCTCATGAATAAATAAATATTTTTTAAAAGATTTTATTTATTTATTTGAGAGAGAGAGAGAGAGAAAGCAAGAAAGAGAGAGGGGCAGGGGGAGAAGCAGACTCCCCACTGAGCAGTGAGTCTCACATGGGGATCAATCCCAAGACGCCAGGATCATGGCCTGAGCCAAAGGCAGAGGCTTAACCAACTGAGTCACCCAGGTGCTCCTAGAGTATAAGTCTTCTTAAAGAGGATATCAGCATCACCAAGTCTAGAATTAGGGGAAACAGCAGTAAACTCCTTTTATGTTTTGCCCCTAATCCAAAATTGAACTCAAGTGCAGAAATCAAAATTAAAATGCACCTGCCTTAGCTCAAGTTTTTCTGCTTAAAAATGTACTCCGGGGCAGCTGGCTCAGTTGGTAAAGCTCTTGAGGCTCTTGAGCTCAGGGTCATGAGACTGGATTTTCTTAAGTACAGCAGAGTTAAAGAACCTTGTATTAAAAGAAACTATAAAAAATAAAGAAAGAAAGAAATGTACACTGAAGAGTACCAAACATCCACTAAATATCAGGAGCAAGTGATACATCCTGAAAACCTTACACAACTTTCCAGACCAAGGACCCACTGGGGAAAATAAAACCAGCTGTCCCAATGCTTTGTCCCTCTAACTGAGCCACATTAGAAGACCCCCCAAAAATAGAACATTCCGAAATTATCACAGCAAATCTAAGAAAGCTGACTGACTGATTTTTTATGTAAGGAAAAGGAGAACAATTACTCCCAAACCCTCAGTCTCTCAAGAAGTTGTCTCAGGGGGCACCTTCGGCTCAGGTCATGATCCTGGGGTCCCAGGATAGAGTCCCACATCAGGCTCCCTATAAGGACCCTGCTTCTCCCTCTGCCTGTCTCTGCCTCTGTGTGTGTGTGTGTGTCTCATGAATAAATAAATAAAATCCTAAAAAAAAAAAGTTGTCTCAGAAGGAGCCAGAAAACACACTTGGCTGCCACAGTGTCCCAGCCCCCCTGTATGGCTGGCCTTTGAAGGTCGGGGACCTGTCACACGCTGCTTTCCCCTAGGCCTGGGATGACCCTGGGGAGTAGGGAGCCAGGGCTTGCTATAGGATAATCACTAGGAACTTCACAGAGTCACCACAGAAGAGTCAGCAAAAGAGAGAAGGTCAAGGGGCTGTGGCAATGGCTGACAGAGTTCTACCCAGACCTCAAGCCCCCCAGCTCAAGACTTAGTACTCCCTCAGCCTAGTACTTCATGGAAAAGAGAGATACCATCAGACAGAAATACCCACGTCTCCCCTCACCAAACCTGCCAACCTCCTAGCATGGGCTCTGGCATGGGCATCCCTCCCTCCTGTCATGCGGATGAAAGGCCCTGTTCCCAGGATGCCTGGGTGGCTCAGTGGTTGGGCATCCGCCTTCAGCTCAGGGTGTGATCCCAGGGTCCTGGGATCCCGCATCAAGCTGCCTCGAGGAGCCTGCTTCTCCCTCTGCCTGTGTCTCCGCCTCTCTCTCTGTGTCTTTCATGAATAAATAAATAAATAATTTTTTTTTAAAAGGCCCTGTTCCCAGCTGGGACCACTGAAACCTAAGCCCTGGATCCCCCCTCTCACCTTGTCAGAGACACTGCTCCAGGAACTGCCCTATCTCCTTCCTGCATCATCCATTTCTCTCTCTCTACTGGATCATTCCCAAGGAATAAAACATACTCTCCCATCTCCCCACTAAATAAACAGGACACCTCCCCCACCTCAAACCCACAACCTCCCCAATCCTCAGTGAATGTCTCAAACCCTCTTCATAAGAAAATTACCCAAAAGGTTCACCTGTACTTATGACCCCAACTCTGCACCCCATATTTTCCCATCCACCTACTCCAGTCAGGTTCTGTCCTTTAAGCTTCTATGAACCCCTCATTCTACTGGGGTTTCTCCTAACTTCTCAATCTCCTTTGCTAGATCCACCTCTTTTCCCAACCTCTAAACACCGCTATGTCCCAAGGCTTAGGTCATCTTTCCTGTCTACACTCTCTTCCAAGGTGAGTTCAACTAATCCTGTGGCCTTGAATACCACCTATAATACTCAAATACACCTCTGCGGTCCTCTCTCTCTCTCTCTCTCTCTCTCTCTCTCTCTCTCTCTCTCTTCTGAGCTTCAGATACATCCATCCGACTACCTGACATACTCATATCTCAAATGTCAAGACAAGATCTTATGCGCTCCATCACTCCAAAGCTGCTCCTCCCCCCAGCCCCCCCCATCTGAGTGATATGAGTACCATCCACTCAGGCGCTCAAGCCTCTGGGAGTCGTCTTTTCTCTTCCTTTCACAGACTGCATCCAAATCAACAAGCCTGAATATGACCACTTCCCTTCATCGGCAGGGCCACACCCTCTGTCAAGTCATCATGCACTCTTGCCTGGACTACAGCAACAACCTGCTACTATTCTCCTGCCCGCTACAGTTACCCACCTACACAGAGTCCACTATACAGCAGGTAGCATGATCTTTCTAAAAATGCAAATCAAATCACATTGCTCCTCTGCTTAACCCACCCCCCCTAGTGATTTCCCACTGGGCTTAGAATAAAGTTTAAAAACTCCCTGCCCTGGCTCATAAAGTCCTACACCATTTGCTCTCTCCTATCTGTAACCTCTTCTCTTGCTACTTTCTCCCTTGCTCACCACATTCCAGCCACACTGGCCTCTCGGTTCTTTGAACTTGAAGCTCTTTCTGCCTTAAAGCCCTTGCCCTGGCTGGTCTCCTCCAGAAATGCTTTGCCGTCTCATCAACACAAAGATGGCTCTTCCCTATCATTCAAATTTTACCATAAATGTCACCTATTCAGAAACACCACTACTGACCTCTCAATCCAACACCACTACTCAGTCACTTGACATCACACTACGTTATTTTAATTTTCTGCACAGTAGTCACCATTGACATTATTCTTTTTTTTAAGATTTTATTTATTTATTTACGAGAGACACACACACACACACACAGAGAGGGGGGGGGGCAGGCAGAGACACAGGCAAAGGGAGAAGCAGGCTCCATGCAGGGAGCCCGACGTGGGACTGGATCCCGGGTCTCCAGGATCACGCCCTGGGCTGAAGGCGGCGCTAAACCGCTGAGCCACGGGGCTGCCCTATTCTTGGTTTTTAACTTATTTTCTGCTCCCTCTCCCCACTAGATTGCAAGCCCCCTGAGCATCCAGACCTTGTCTGCCTTACTCACTTCTGTGGTTCCAATGCCTAGAATAATGTGTGGCACACGAGGAGAAATCTAATAAATATCAATAAATGCAGTTATGACCAGCCAGGCCCATGACTGAGGGGGGCTCTGAGGTCTTCACCAGCTCCCCAACTTCTCTCTCAAACACAGACATGAGGCAGGACCCCAGCCAGAGCCCTAGTGTTCAGTTGTATAAATCTCATCCACCAGGATTCCAAACATCCTGCAAGAGCCCAAAGTAGGGAGGGAGACCCTCAAGCTCCGACTATGCTGCTCTACTACTGACTAGCAGTGCTTCGAGCTGGTGGAGAAAGCAACTCTGACTCGCAGCCCCCCCCCCCCCCCCCAAGTAACGCTACTTGTCAGACCACCGTCCAGCCCTTGGCTAGGTCATTCCTTCCGCACACAAGGATTTCCCGAGGGCCTGCTCTGTGCCAGGCCCTGGGCAGAGGACCAAGCGCAGCTTCCGACTGCAGGGGATCGACCGGCGACCACGCCGGCCGAGAGTTCCAGAGAAACAACAGGTACCGCCGCGCGCGGGAAACTTCGGGCCGCAGCGCCGCTGGCGGCTGGGCGGGGCCCTAACTTAGCGCCCCACGGCCGCAGCTCCGCACGCCCGGGTCCGCGGCCACCGGCGGGGCGCGACGCCCGCGGGCTTTTCCTGAACCAGTGCCGCTCGGCTCCAGGGGCCGGTGTCCCGCGAGCACCACGCGCTGAGGGCTCCCTCCGCCTCCCCGCCCCCACCGCACCCGCACCCCGCACCGCGCGGGCCCGCGCTCCAGGCCGGGAGGGGGCGCGGTCCCGGCGCTGCTCCGTCGCCCCAGGAACCAGGTGGACGCCCGAGTCCTCCCCAGGGGAGGTTCCCTGCGCCTCTCCCCGCCGCCCTCCGTCCGGGACCCCGGACGCAAGTCCTAGCTCCACCGGCCCGGCCCGCTCGCCGCCGCCCGGGGCCCTAACCCCGCGCCCGAATCCCGCCCGGGGGCAGGACCCGGGGTGCTGGGGGGAGGGGGCAGCCTGCGGCCCGGCCCCGACCCCGCGCCCAGGACCCCAGCGCGGCGCGGCCGCGGCTCAGTGCGCGCCAAGCCGCCCGGGCCGCGCGGGGCGGGAGCGGCGGGGCCCCCGCGCACAGGTGCGGGCGCGGCGCGGCGCGGCGCGCGGGCCACTCACTCGATGAAGTAGCTGGCGCCCTCCTCCGTGAAGCCCTCCTCCCAGCCGCGGGGCAGGTCTGCGGGAAGCAAGAGAGGCGGGTCACACCGGAGCCCCCGGGCGCCCCCCGCCCCCCCGCGGCCCCGCGCCCCCCCGCCGGCCCGGCCCCCACCTGAGCGGATCATGTGGCCCGAGTTGACGGGCTCCCCGGTGCGCGGGTGCAGCCAGGTGGTGCGGCGGAGCTCGTCGCTGCGGAGAGAGGTGCACCTGTTAGCGCCGCCGCCGCGCCGGGGGCGCCCGCCCCGCGCCCCGCGCCCCCGCCCGCGCCCGCGCCCCCGCGCCGCACTCGATGAAGAAGACGCGGCCGTCCCGGCACACGCCGTAGGACCAGTGCTCAGGTAAAGTGTCCCGCCCGACCGCCGCCGCCGCCATGTTCGCCGAGCGCGGAGCCGCCGCCGCCGCCGCCGCCGCCGCCGCCGCGGGGAGAGGGGGAGGGGGAGGGGGAGGGGGCGGGGGAGGAGGAGGCGGGGCGGGGCGGGGCGGCGGGCTCGGCCTGCGCGGGCCCCCGCGGCGCCCCGGGGCGCTCCATCGCGGCGCGCGGCGAGGTCCCGGGAGCCCCCAGCGCCCGCACGGCCGCGGGACTCGGCCACCCACGGCCCGACCCGAGCGCGGCGGCCGCGGCCTTTGTCCCCGCGCCGTCCCCGCCCCCACCCCCCGCCCCGCCGCCCCGCCGCCCCGCCGCCCCGCCGCGCGCCCCTTTGCCCCGAGGCCCCGCCGAGACCCGGGCGGGGCCCAGGGCCGCTGCCGGGGCGCGGCGGGCAAACTCCGGAGAGCAGGTGCGCCCCGAACCCACACACACCCGACCCCCACCGCGGACCTCCTGCCTCCAGGGAACCGTACGCCGCTTTCTGACCCGCGCAGATCCAAACAGGTTGCATCCATATTGGGCAGCCTCGTTTTGTTTCCTTCCGCTGTAAAATAAAGTTTATAGTAAGTATCACGAGGGATCGTCGTGCAGAGTATATGAAGTTACAGTGCTGGAAAGTGCTTGACTGCACCCTGGCCCCCGGCAGGTGGCCCATTAATCCCCGGCCAAGCGTGATTTTATTTCCCCAGGTTTGCAGCTGGGAGATGAAGAAGGAGGGTGCAGTGTCCCGTCCCCCCCCCCACACACACACACACACAGCCCCGAAGTTGCTTGGATCCTAGGCTTCTGTCTGCCTTTAGTTCCTGTCAAGTGGCAGACGCTGTGGACCGGCCGCATCTCCTCTATCTTTAGAAGAGCAGAGGCGCCAGACTGGGCCTCTCGTGGGGCCTCTGGAAAGTTCTTTACATGGCTGGAGCCTTCTCACAGTCAGGCCTATGCTGGAATCTCAGCTCCTGGGGGATCCCTCCCCTGACCCCTTTGCTCCAAAGGGGACCTCTTCCCTCCTCCCTCCACTGTCTATTCCATTACGTGTGTATACTTAGTTGGCATCCTTATGCGTGTGTGCGCTTATTGCCTATGTTGTAGACTGAGCTACCCGCAACACGCTAAAAAGTCAGAGGGAGGAGAGGAGGGACCTAGTTCTGTCTCATATACTGCCACATTCCCGGTGCTTAGAGCAGTGCCTGACCTGTGTACACATTCAATAAGTGCTGAAAAAGTGCCTAAGACACACTCCACACTGGCACCCCTGTATGCTGAGCGTGGACAGAGGGGAAGCTAGACTCTGCGAGATGTCAAGCCCAACCTTCCAGAGGTATAGGCTGCAGTTGGTGGGGAGAGGCTCCCAGGAGACTCTAGGTAGCCTAGGCACTGTTACTCGGAAAAGCACCCCAGGCAGGTGGAAACCAGTTGTGCCCAGAAAGAATGCTCAGGTTTGAATGAGAAGAGAGCACCCCAGAGGGAAAGGATGGGAGAGCAAACACAGGCTTATGGGAAGGGTATGGGATGTTGAAGAGATCATAAAGGTGCCCTTCCTTGAGAAGACAGTGGTGTTGGGGAAGGAGACTGTTATGAGTTTAAAAAAAAAAAGGGGGGGGGAGTTGGTGTGATTGTGGAGACCACTGAACACTTGACCACTGAATACTTGTTTGAGGGGGCCTCCTGCCTTTGAGGAGGTTCTTCAGCAAATGACAATGAGAAAGTTGTGTTTTTATTCTTAAATATTAATTTAAAATAATGAAATGGCAAAGGATATGAACATAGTTCATAGAAAAGTAATACAAGTGGATTCTAAACAAATGAAAGGATACTCAACCACCTCCTAATAGGAGAAATGCAGATTAAAGTTAAGGTGAGAGATACTAGTTTTTAGATATCATATTGGCAAAAAAAAATGTGCATTGTAGAGAAAGACATTCTTTGTTGGTGGGATTATAAAATGGTTGCCTCTTTGAAGGTAATTTGGCAACAGCTATTACAACTTAAATGCATATACTTTTTGACCTACCCATTCTACTACTAGAAATTTATCTTACATTGGTGCTCACACAGAGACACAAAGACCTGTGTACCAGTGTATTCGCTGCAGCACAGTCAATAGTTAATAAAGGATTCCACACAACCTAAATGTCTATCAAAAAAGAATAGGTTTGTATGGTGATGGATGTTAACTAGACTTATTGTGATATTTTGCAATATTATTTGTATATATTGTTGTACACCTAAAATTAATATATTGTCATTATCATATAATGATATGTCATTATATGGAGGAAAAACACAAATTGACATAATATATGTCACTATGTTGTACGCCTGAAACTAATATAATGTCATGTGTCAATTATGCTTCAATTAAATAGAAAAGAAAAGGTTAATTATATTATGTCATACTCCTACAATAGGAGGCTATGCTACTGTTAGAAACAATGAGCTGGGCAGCCCTGGTGGCTCAGTGGTTTAGCGCCGCCTTCAGCCCGGGGTGTGATCCTAAAGTCCCAGGATCGAGTCCCACGTCGGGCTCCCTGCATGGAGCCTGCTTCTCCCTCTGCCTGTGTCTCTGCCTCTCTCTCTCTCTCTCTCTCTCTCTCTCTCTCTCTCTGTCTGTCGTAAATAAAATCTTTTAAAAAAGAAAAAAGAAAGAAAGAATGAGCTAGATGTCTATATACTGATGTGGAGTGGTCTCCAAGATATTAAATAGAATGCAAGATGCAGAACTGGGTATATGGTATACTACTATTTTTTGATGATTTTATTTATTCATGAGACACACACACACAGAGAGAGAGAGAGAGAGAGAGAGAGAGGCAGAGGGAGAAGCAGGCTCCATGCAGGGAGCCTGACGTGGAACTCCATCCTGGATCTCCAGGATCAGGCCCTGGGCTGAAGGTGGTGATAAACCGTTGAGCCACTCAGGCTGCCCTGGTATACTACTATTAATGCATAGGGAGCAGGGATGCCTGGGTGGCTCAGCAGTTGAGTGTCTGCCTTCGGCCCAGAACATGATCCTGAAGTCCCGGGATCAAGTCCCACATCAGGCTCCCTGCATGGAGCCTACTTCTCTCTCTATGTCTCTGCCTCATGAATAAATAAATGAAATATTTTTTAAAAAAATGTATAGGGAGCATCATGGCTGAATAAAATACCCCTTGTTTGTGTCCCCACCCACCCCCAACAACAATAATTTGGCATCCATCTATGGACAAAAGTACTTTTCTGGAGGACGTGGAATCCAGCACCATATGTCAAGGGACCTAGGCAGAGTTTCACCCACATGTTGCATTGGGCAATAGGCATACATACCTTGGTCCCACTGTGGACCCTGCAGTGGCCCATGAACCAACCCCAACCCCTCTCAGCCATGGTCCAGGAGCCCCTGGAAAGCACTGTCTTGGATAATCACTTACCGATGAGAGTCTTTTCAGAAGTCCCGGTTTTGAATGAAGAAGTTCCAGCATGGAGCTGGAGGAAAAACACAAGTTTAGGTGCATTGAAGAAGGCAGCTACTGGGACACCTGGGTGGCTCAGCATTTGAGTGCCTGCCTTTGGCTCAGGGCATGATCCTGGGATCTGGGATCGAGTCCCACATCGGGCTCCCTGCGTGGAGCCTGCTTCTCCCTCTGCCCGTGTCTCTGCCTCTCTCTCTCTCTCTCTCTCTCTCTCTCTCTCTGTCTCTCATGAATAAATAAATAAAATCTTAAAAAAAAGATGGCAGTTACTAAAGACTAGAGGAGGTCACTGCCATTTCAAACACAGAAACAGCAATACAAAACTTGAGATCACAATAATCTTTCAGTAATCAATCTCAATATGGAGACCTACAATTTACTCAATAGATAATTTGAAATACCTGTTTTAAGGAAACTCAGTGAGCTAAAGGAAAACACAGATAATTCAATGAAATCAGGAAAACAATACATGAACAAAATGAGTTTAACAGGTAGAAATCATAAAAAAAAAATTCTGGAGCTGAAGATACAATGAATGAAATAGAAACCATCAACATGGATGTCTGGGTGGCTCAGCAGTTGAACGTCTGCCTTCGGCCCAGTGTGTGATCCTGGGGTCCTGGGATCGAGTCCAGCATCGGGCTCCCTGTGGGAAGCCTGCTTCTCCCTCTGCCTATGTCTCTCTCTTTCTCTGTCTTTCATGAATAAATTAATAAAATCTTAAAAAAAAAAAGAGAGAGAGAGAAAAGAAACCATCCACAGGGGGTGCCTGAGTGGCACAGTCAGTTAAGCCACGGACTCTTAGTTTCCACCCAGGTCATAATCTCTGGGTCAAGTGTTGAGCTCTCTGCTCAGCACAGTCTGCTTGGGACTCTCTCTCCCTCTCCCTCTGCCCTCCCCCACCTCTCTCTCAAATAAACAAATCTTTAAAAAATATATCAACATCAGGATGGATCAAGAAGAAAGAATCTGTGAGTTAGAAGATAGGAACTTTGAGGGATGCCTGGGTGACTCAACAGTTGAGCATTTGCCTTTGGCTCAAGGCGTGATCCCCTGGTCCTGGGATCAAGTCCCGCATTGGGCTCCCCATAAGGAGTCGGCTTCTTCCTTGGCCTGTGTCTCTGCCTCCCTCTCTCAGTGTTTCTCATGAATAAATAAATAAAATCTTTAAAGAAAACAAAAAAGATAGGAACTTTGAAATTATCCAGTCAGAGGAGAACAAAAAAAAGAGTGAAGACAACCTACATGAAATTATGACATAACATCAAAAGAAATAATTTATGAATTATGCAGTTCCAGAGAGAGAAGGGGGAAGAAAGCTTATTTAAAGAAATAATGGGGGACACCTGGGTGGCTCAGTGGTTGAGCATCTGCCTTCGGCTCAGGGTGTGATCCCTGGGTGCCTGAATGACTCAGTAGTTTAGCATCTGACTCTTGGTTTTGGCTGAGGTCGTGATCTCATGGGTTGTGAGATCAAGCCCCAAGTCCAGCTCCATGTTCAGCAGGAAGTCTGCCTAAAGAT